CCCCCCCCCCCCCCCCGCCCCCCCCCCCACCCCCCACACCCACACCCCACGCCCTACACCCACACCCACACCCCACGCCCCACACCCACATCCTCACCCACACCCCACACCCACACCCTAAATTTTGGGGATGGCCAAAGAACCATTTTGATAGAACAGCTTATCGAAATAATGCATTAGATAAGAACAAAAAATACAAAGTAACAGTGATATGTGTTATCTTTTTTAATGAGAATTTTATCGCTTATTCATTTCAAATAAAGAAATGTGTGCAAAATAAATTGTATTCGTTTTCAAAAGTGCAAATGTCTTTTTCATCTCTACCTGTGATTGATCTTAAATCACATCCAGATGATATTCGTCAGACTATTTTATTGGCTTGTTCAACAACAGGTTTCTTTTATGTATCAAATCATGGATTAGATTCTTTACAAAGTCAAATATTTTCTATGGCCAAAGAATTTTTTTATCTTCCTCTTCAAGAAAAACTTCTTTATGCATCAAATACAACATCTTATCAAGGTTATTTAAAAATTGGTCGTGAAAATCTTGATTCAACCAATTCCAAACTTATGGATGAAAAAGAAGGATTTAGAATTCGTCAATCAGATTTGAATAGAAAAGATAAATTACCTAATATATTTTCTCATGAAGAAAATTTCAAATTACTTGAACAATTTTTTCGACAATGTTATAATCTTTGTATGCATCTATTGGAATACTTAGCTGAAACTTTTGAAATTGATCGAGATTATTTTACGTCAAGACATAAATGGGATAAGGAACCAGGTGCAGCACTTAAATTATTACATTATTCTCCAATAAATCAAATAGAACAAAATATCAATGTTATTCGAGCGGTAAGACTTCAAAACTTAAACAAATCAATTTTGAGCAAAGAAAAAATTTTTCCATAATATTTCTCATAAGGAAAAACGTATACTAACGAGGAAACATATCTAACTGTTGGACGGCATTTGATTTCGTATTATGGTTACGAGTAAATCTCGGAGAGACTAAGAAAAATTGAAAAGAATACAGGTTCATGACCTACTAATGAAGAGATGTAGTCATTTTAAGGAAATTTTTACTGCGAACATGGTATTTTCGGAAAATCGAAAACAACGAGTTTCGAACTTATATTTTGTCTAATGATAGATTCGGCAGTCTTGAAAGTTTCAATGAAAACGAGCATGTCTTTCTTAAAATATTCAATTTCCAAATAGTTTTGATTATGATATCTTCCTATGATAAATCGCTGTTTTATTTTGGAAATTGAACATCTCGCGAAAAAAAAAACCATATTCGTTTTCATCGAAACTTTCAAGACTATCAAATCTGCAGTTAGGCAAAATCTCACGTCAAAACTCATCATTTTGGATTTTTCCAAAAATATCTTACTCTCAGTAAAATTTTCATTATAATGAACATAACTCTTTATTAGTAGGCCATGGCAGAGATGGAACCGATTATCGACCGATGCGGTCCGGTACGGATTTCAGACCACCCAGTAACCTGTAGACCGGTCGGTTGCCGATCTGACTTATTTTCTGTCCTACTTTTATTATATAAACTTATTTGAAAACTTCAATTGGTCTTAATCCTATGACGTCGTTTATATTTTACATGAACAATTTTATTATTTTTTACTCTGTTTTTGTCGTCCTATGTAATTCAAGAACAAACGTTGAACCCAGATATGGAACTAGCACTGGTTATCGGTCGGATCGGTCCGGTGCCGATACGAATTTCAGACCGATCGGTCTACTGGTAGTCATCGTTCGGTTGCTAGTAGATCGGTCATTAGGAGTTTGTCCAAAATCATGTGATCAGGAAGAGGAAGTCCCCAAAAATCATGTTTGATCACAAACCGGTAGACCGACTGATCCGGTCCGGTCTGACCTTTTCAGACCGGTGCCGATACCGGTCGTCAAAAATTCAGATCGGTTCCATCTCTGGGCCATGGGTCCAAATTCCTTTAAATTTATCTTAATTTTGCAGAGATCTACTCATACCCATAATATAAAGTCGAAATACGTTCGACAGTTGAATATGTTCTCTCTTAAGATGATCTTATTTTATTGTTGAAGGGTGCTCATTCGGATTATGGATCACTTACTCTTTTATTTCAACATGATCATAAATCTGGTCTTGAAGTATTTGATCGTTTAACAAATTGTTGGTATCCAGTTGAAGCTCGTGATGATATGATTGTAGTTAATTTTGGAGATGTTTTTGAATATTGGAGTAAAGGAATGGTTAAAAGTACAATTCATCGAGTTATTTTACCGACTATTAATGAACAAAATCATTCTCGATTTTCTATTGCTTTTTTTTGTGTTCCAAATGGAGATACACCACTTACTCCTATTCCATCTAAATTGATTGAAAATCATATTTATACAAAAGATAAACATGCAAAACAAGTTTTTAGTGACAATGATGGACATGTTTTGACTGCTGGTGAACATCTACAAATGAGACTAAATAAAACTCATCAATATTAATTCGTGCTTGTCTATTCATTTAATTTTCAATCATAGTACCATCTTCTTAGAAAATGAAGAAATATAGAAATCAATTAAATTTATAATCATTTTTTGGTGTAGAATCAAGCGTTTAAATATTAAAATATAGACTCCTTTAGTATTTTTAGTTCATTTTTTCATAGTATTACTCTTGTTATTTGTTAAAATTCTAAATAAAAACTTTTATTATTCATCATTAATACATTGAAATAATGTCTTTTTTTGCCGATTGTTACTGAAAACAAATTATTTTTACTCTCTAATAATTCATAATAAATGGGGAAAAAAATCATTTTATTTTCTTATTTGATCTTCCAGATTAATTACTTATTGTATTATTTTTTTTGTCATCAATTAACTACGTATGAAAACTTTAAATGTTGAAGAAATAACCTTTATTTTCAATTATCTGACATGAACATTTATCGAACAAAAAAATCACTGAAAAAAAACTCTTTTTTTGCATAGATAACAACAAGAAAGAATTCTATTTATATCAAATTTGATAAAAAAAAATCTCAATTCTCTTTTACTCTTTAATAAAATAAATTCTTGCTTTTTTTCTCTTTTTCATTAATATAGACATCAAGATAAATAAATATTATGTTTTATGTCCTAAAAAAGAAAAAAAGAAACAACATATTTTAACGATGAATAATAATATCGTTGTTAATGTCCACATATTACACATTAAAAAAAGTTATCATAAAATTCTTTAAGGATTCTAACATGATCTAGTGGTTAATTATTATGATACAACATATTATTTTGAACTATACACAAACGTATAAGCATTGGTCCACTGGAGCTAAATTGTATAATAACCAGATTTATCTATATATGGTCTTAAAACGAATCATCAATATTCCATAAAGACAAGCATTACTCATATTTCCTTTTTAATGATGTTGATATAACGTGAACCTGAGTCTTTTAGGATTTGCAGCTCAAAATCTTGAAAAATAGTAGTATTTTAATGTAAATAAGAGGCTCACTGAAGTTCTAACCTTTCGAGTAATTAATCAATACAACGGGGATGGGTGAGCTTTAAATAATTCAATAAGAATATTCCTAAAAAACATAACAAAGATCTAAATAGGGCGTGGGTGTGGCTGGGTCTGGGTGTGGCTGTGGGTCTGGATGTGTGGGTGTGGGTCAAGGGGGAAAAAGCAGATTTCAAGATTTCAAGATTTCAAGATTCCCAAAGATTCTCAAAGATTTTCAAAGATTTCTAAAGATTTCTAGATATTTCTAAACACGGCAATTAAAGAAAATATGCATGTTCTAATAAATATCTACTTGAGAACCAAGCCTGGCCTCATTGTACAGGCTTTGGGATGTGATTTACTCTGTTTACTGGAACGAAAACAAATGGGAAAAAACATATTGCAAGATTTTAAAAGATTTTTGAAGATCTGCAACTATTTTAGTTAAATAAAATCTGTATGCTCTAACAAATCTTGACCTGAGAACTAAGACGAGACTATTTTTTATTTATTTTGCAATGTACATCATAAATATCAATTTCTCGCTTTCTTAGAAAAACTGCAAAAAACACGTAAAAGTTCAATTTTTTCGTTCATCATCATGAACTAAGAAGAGTTTCTAAATTTGATCTTTTTTGATAAAACCTTCAAGGCCTTTCATGATGCTAGACATAACAGCTTTTTCTCCTTTTTTTACCTCACGTCGCAGTGAATAAAAAAATGAACCGTTTATGATTGTTCTTTTTCAGTATTTTAGAAATGAATCATCGACACATATATTATGATAAAACACAGTTTCAAGAATAAAAATCAAAAAATGAAAGTTAAATAAAAATAAAAGAACAATAATATGTTTATACAAAAATTTCATAATTTTTTCAACAAATAAAAGTTAAATTTTAGTTCTCTTAGTATCATAAGAATTATCGACATCATTTTCTGCCAAACGTTTGTTATTTCTTTTTCCCTTTTCTGGTTTTGCTGTTGGTTTATTTGTTGAATCATTCAAAAAAGTAGCTACTGCTACTGTTTCTGTGAAGGATTGTTGACGTAGAGGTTGCGAAGACAACAAAGACAACCTTGCTGCAGTTGAAGTATTTGAATCGTCATTTATTTGTTCTTGTTGTTCATCATTGATTTTCAAACTTCTAAGTTTTTTCATTAATGAACATTTTTGGTTATCTCTCAAATGACGATAATAATTTGATAAGAGGAACTTACTCTTCTGTCTTGAAAGAACTAACTTTTCATTGCACTTACATTCAATAAATACATCATTCGTATTTTGTATAATCAAATCATAATGAACACCTTCTGCCAAGACGAAATCATCATTACCAAAAAGTTCAACATTTTCAATACTCC